TTCTTTTGATTTTTCTGGTAGAAATAGTTCGATTCAGTACAATGGCACTTTAAAAACTAGATTTGCAAGTTTTAGAGGAGATCAAAGTGAATCATCAGATTACTTGTGCATGGATGGTGATGATGATCCTTTATGGTAAAATACATGCTTCCATTAACAAAAGAGTGATATGGATTGATGACAGTGGTGGTGATGATGATGATGATGATGACCTTGACATTGGCCATGTGCGCTAAAGTTCCTGTGACAGTGAAATGGAGCAAGAGTGGACTGATACAGACACAAGGAATGCAGACCTCTTTGATTCAGATGATGAAGAAAACAGCATTGTGAGTACATCTTTGACTAGTAAAAATGTTGCAAAATGGCCCACAACCAAATGGACCGATCCCACGCGAGAACTACGTACAACTGGGTCGGAAAATATAGTGAAGCTTTTGGCAGGGGTGAAATGTATTAGACAAAATGCCAGCCTTGCCTTTTACTGTTGGAAATTATAACAAATGAAATGCTACAAGATGCTGTGAAATGCATAAAGGCTAAAATGCAAGTAAAATGCTCTGTATACACCAATAGCCATGTTCAAAAATGTATTTGGCACCTCACTAGATGAACTAAAAGTCTTCATAGGTCTGCTGCACTTTGTACAGATTTGTCATGGTGATCACAGGAATGCAAAGGACTTGCGGAAAAGTGATGAGCAAAAATATGGCATAAAAGTTTATGCCTTTGTAGATGCAAGGATTTATTATTCTTTCCATTTAGACATTTATCCTGGAAATCTGCCATCAGGTCCTTATTTGTACAGTAATAAACCGAATGATGTTGTGAGCAGACTTGTTGCTCCATCTCCCAAGCCAATGAGAATGTGACATTTGGCAACTGGCTTAGTTTCCAGTTGATGTTACCTTTGCTAGCAGAGTGCAAGTTGACCATCACAGGAGCTGTACCGGGAACAGGAACAAAACAGAAATTCCAAATGAAGTGTTGCAAATTCAAAACAAAGCATTGTATAGTACAAGCTTTGAATTTCATGGGGCTCCCGTAGGGCAAAGAAAAGCAAACTGGCACTACTGGTGTCAACGTTTCACCGTGATGGCAATACTGATAATACTGACGATACGGAAGCCTGAGATGGAAACTTTCAACAACAAAACCAAACATGGAGTAGATGCTATTGATGAGTTATACAGCGGTTGTGATGTCACTTGAAACACAAAGCACTGGCCAACGGTTGTGTTTTATTTGATCCTAAACATGTGTAGCATAAATAGCTTGATAGTTCACAAAGAAAATAACCAGTGCAAAATATCATAAAGAAATTTTCTTACAGGATTGGGACTGGAGCACATAAGAGATCATTTACAGCAGAGGAGAAACAAAATATTTCTGCCCAGGGAGCTATGCAAAAAAAATTGTGGAACACACTGGTGAGCTGACAGGTGAACAGACAGGCTCAGCACCACAAAGACCTGCTGTACAAAAACAGGAAAACAAAAAAGATGTCAACTGTGCCCCACAAGGAAGTACAGGAAAACAAAACATACGTACTACCAGTGTCAGCAATACTTGCATGTGGGACATGCAGCTGTCATGTGTGAAGGCTGCCTTGGGTGTGACAGTTGAAGCAGTGCTTATCTCTGTGGTAGACTTTTGCTTGTGTTTATACTATAGTTTTTACAGTTCTTTATGTTTGATGTTATCTTCTGAGTTTTGTAAGCAAGCAAATGGCTGATATGAAAGTGTTTATGTCTATCTTAAGCACTCATTACATATTTGATATTGTATTTTATTGATATCTTATTTCCCTGCTAAGTGTATGTTGCACAATAGAGTGGGAAGCTCCTCCTGACAGAACAGGAAGAGAAGAGAGGTAACAAGACTGCCACATAGGGAAGGAAAGCTAACTAAGCACACGTGCTACCTGTATAAGGGAGACGTGTGCATGGAACATGCAGTTGTCATGTGTGAAGACTGCCCTGGGTGTGACAGTTGAAGCAAAGTTTATTTTTGAGGTAGAGTTCTATTAACATTTTCATTGCAGTTCATATAGGAATTTATTTCTGATGTTATCTTTTAGGTCTTATAAGCAAGTACAAGCTGATGTAAAAATGTTGCTGTCTACTCTAAATACACTGTACAGTACATAGTAAGAATTTAATAATTTATTTTATTAATATTTTATGTTCCTATTAACTACACACTGTACAATATAATAAGAACCTCCTGACAAAACAGCAAGACCCCTGAGATGTCAAGTATGCCCTACAAAAAGGCCAGGAAAGCAAAAGACATGTGCTGTCAGTGTAAGTGATGCGTGTGCATGGAACGTACGGTTGTCACGTGTGCAGACTGCCTTAGGTGTGATAATTGAAGTAAAGATGATTTTTTTGTAGAGTGCTATTGGTATTTTCATTGTAGTTCATATGGAAATTTATTTCTGATGTTCTTTTTTAGACCTTATACACTAAAAACTAGTTGATACTGAAAATGTTGATGCTTTTTTATAAACAATAAATATTAAAAACTCAATACTTTATTTTTGTGATTTTTTTCTTGCTAAGCACTCATTATTTAATATAATAAAATGCATAAAATCAAAATTAATAATTCATCCATAGAAACAGTCTAAAGAATCAACATTGGGTCTGGCAGACCCACATTTATGCACCTTGAGGACAAAATTAGTTTTATGCTCCAAGACTACTATTTACATTTCTACCATCATTATGCTATGTTGGTATATGCTTTCTCCAAGACTACAAAAGCTTTCTCTACAGTTCTCTTTTCTCATTAGCCCTTTCCAGAATTGTCCTTATCCGCATGTCTCCAAACAGTCCCTCCAAGGCAACCCAGACCCTGTCCACTGTGCAGCTCAAAGCTCATCCAGTCTCCACTTATTACCTAGTTCCAATGTCCCTTCTAAACTGTTACAGGAGCACCCTACTTCTCAGGAGCAAAATTTCTACTCATCTGCTGAGGATGCTATAACAAAACACCAGACTGGCTGGCTTAATCCAACGGACATTTATTTTTTCACACTTTTTTTTAGTAAGGGTCTCACCATGTAGTTCAGAGTGACCTCAAACTTGCCATGTAGCTCAGTTTGGCCTGAAACTCACAATCCTGCCTTTGCCTCCTGGGTGCTGGGGTTACAGGAGTGCATTACCACACCAGGTTTTTCTCATAGTTTTGAAGGCTTAGAAGTCCAACATCAAGGTGCCATCGGGGTTAGTTTCCGGTAAGGACTCTCTGGCCTCTAGGTAGTCATCTTGTCCTGGGGTTGCATCTCCACATGACTCCAAGTGTATGTGGTGATGGGGGACACGGCATAGTTTTGGTGCTTCTCCCACTTCTGATAAGAGCACTGGTTCTAGCAGAGTAGGCTCCCACCTTGTAAGTTCATTTAACCTTTATAACCTATTCATAAGTTCTATCTTAAAATATAATCA